TAGGTAAAATCATACTCTACGACTTTCGTTTAGACTTCGTCAGCTAATTTTGACTTTATTTTTAATATTATTATTTTAAACAGACCGGGACGGGAATCCGTTAAAATTTCATAACTTCTTCATCCGACGTCCGTTTTCGTCTGTCTTTTTACCGTTGTGCTACTTGTGACGAGACCTTCGATTCTCGTTTAAGTTGCGTCGGCTAAATATTGGTCGATTTATATTTCGAATTTTTAGCTGTCTACTGCTAAACCGAAACTTCGAAAAATCATAACTTCCTCATACGAAGTCGGATTTTCACGTTCTTTTTATGAACGTTCTCGGTTTAACATATTCTACAAGTTTCATTTAGATTGTTAAGGCTAAAAATCCTTTTATCGAAAATTCGCTTTTTACACTGAACAGTGTTTTGCCGGTTTTACCGCGGATTTTCGATTGGTCATAACTTCTTCGTTATAACTCGGATTTCAGTGTTCTTTATGTTTTTGGAAACCTTGTTACAAACTCTACCACTTGGTTCATCCCAATTACGATTATTGATCAATTAATTTTTGACCAAAATTTGACTGGTGTCACACAAGGTGAGGAACCTATAGTAAGAAGGTGTAGTAGATGTGATAATACAACACATAATGCAGCGACTTGTCCGACATTGGTCCCAAAGAAACAAAAAAAGGCAACAAAAAGTAGTGCAACATCAGGTAGTAACACAAAAGGGAAAGGGAAAGGGACAGAAGGGACTCAGGAGACGCTAGAGACGCACGAGACACAAGAGACGCGTTGGACGAGTGGGACGCATAGAGAAGACTATTGTTCAACGTTTGATTTGAATAATTGATGTTGTATTTATAATTAATTATGTTTTGTTTTAGAAGACATTAATTTGTGTACTTTGAAATGGTGTGTTTATTTTAAAGATGATGGGTAATATTATGATTATATTAGTGCATAATTACTAATACAATAATAACTAATATTCGAAGATAATACATTCAACAAACCAGAAACATATAGTAAACGTACAACAACAGTAATTAACTTAAGGGAATTGCAAAGGATACTTTTCTTTCTCCATTGTTATGTAGTCGTCCCTAATTCTTATTTTATCTTCCATACGGTCCTTTTGGATACCAAGTTCTATCATTTCTGCATCCTTGTCAGCAAGCCATTTTTCAGACAGTTTGATATTCTTCTTAGTTTTTTTTATCCATTCCTCAAGATCTTTGATTTTTTTTAGTAATCGTCATCCTTTCCTCAACCTCTTTGCACTCCGCCGCAATGACGTCACGACGTTCAGTGAGAGCTCGAGATGAGTCTTTATCTTTTTTTTGTTGTTCTTCAGCCCATTGTAGTTGTTGCAAAGTATCCTCCGATATATACAGCTCTCTTAAATTTGGTGATGGGGCAAGAAAAGGGTCGATCGGATCACAATAGAAACAATCAACTTCGTTGCACGAGCAAATATACAAAGTTGAAGATGAACTCATTTTAAATTTTAAAAAAATTTATAACTCTATACCAAAAATCCAACGACCATCCATGACTATATATAGTCCCTTCCACTCCGCATAGAGCTGTTGTCAGTCCGCAGAGCTTTTTGTCAGTCCGCAATAATGTTTGTCAGTCCGCAGAGCTGTTTTTCTAGTCGTTGTCATCCATACATTACAATTATGGGAATACAATTATTTATTTAAAGGTAAACATTTTTTTATTAAAAAGTAAAGAACGCCAACAGACCATTACAACTACGGTTAACATAGAACTGAATACAAATTAATATTCGTTGTGATCCATACAATACAGTTCAATTGAATTTTCGTGGAGGTAAGACCACAACACTTTCAACTGGTATTTCCCAATGCCTAAGGGTTGGAATAGGACTGACCGTCTCAGTTTGATAAGAATTTTGATACACCACTGTACTTAACTTTAAATTTACCATTTGCTGGATTTCTGCAATTTCGAGTCTTTGTAGTGAAGCTATAGCATGCTCACAAGGTATACCACATTTTTGCCATTTACCACAACTACAAATACCACGGTCTAATTGGACAGTTTTGGTTGTTGAATATTTAGTCACTTCATATATGTCGCCAACAATATGCGTAATCCTACAACCATCCGAGTGGATAGATCTTTTATGAATCACCTTAAGTGCATAAGGGGTTAGAAGACCACGAAAATCCCCTGTGAAATGAACTGAATCAAAAAAACAAAAATTATGATGTCATAGTGTATAATAACATATCAATTCACCATTTGAGTGATGTCATAACTTATAATTACCTCCAAACGCAGCACGTTGAAGATACATTGCTTGCATCGAGTCATGAACCATTTCAATGATTGTTGTTATTGGAAACTCATGCGTGTTTGTTTTAAAACAATTGACAACAACGAGAATGTCAATGAATTTAACATTGAAACGTACTCTTGGAAAACAAGCCCATACCCATTTTGCAATGGGAATATTGTCAAGCCAATGAAGATCATTCCCATTAACCTCATTTTTTAAGTTGTTCAAACATGCATAAAAATGAGATAAATTATACGATTTACAAGTCTTCCAGAACAACTGCTCTACGACTGTATTGCTTCCGATGGAAGCGCGTATTTTCTCGGCTATATTTTTACAACAATAGCCATGATATGAATCAGGGTAGACTCTTTGAACTGCAAAGTCTATAGAATCAGACATATGGCTTATGAAACCAACTTCTGTATTGTCACCTAAACATTCTTTAAGCCTCCTCATGAATCATAACCATGAATTGTCATGGTTTATGGTTCCCAAAGCAAACACTATGAGAAGGGGTTCATGATTTCCATCTAAAGCAACCGCAATGTACATGGATCTTACATACGCCCCAATTAGAGGTACTTGACCAACGAATATGATTGGTATCATAGACGTGAGAAACGTACGAATCTGTAAGTCAACATAAGAATATTAGGCATGTAACAACTTGAAATAACTAAATATTTATGTACTATAAGGGATTACATACCACGCATCCCAATGCCACGAAACAAATTTGGAAACGATTGTACTGATCTTTCGTAATGTACGTGTAGGTGTTAGGATTGGTTCTTTGCAGATTATGGAAAAAAGTCGGTAGGCTGGAGAAACTTTTTCTTAATACCTGATTGACTGAACTCATTTTCACAACTTTCGACACCTTGTAAAAATGGAAATGCTTGTCCAATTTATAAGGAATTAGTATACATTATTCCGCAGAACTTACTTGTCAGTCCGCGTAAATGACTTGTCAGTACGCGTAACCTGTTTGAATGTATGGTTTTTAAACATGGGAATTATTTTTCATAAAAAAAGGATAAATACCATATTACATATAAATAAAGCAATACAAGAACAATACAAAACGCAATACTAGTTAAAAAAACGGGACATTTTTCAAAAGATTCAAAGGGGCTTCATACTCGAAACTTTGTCCGTTGCTAATGGATTTGTATTCTTCTTTAGCCGCCTCCAAGATGTCTTCCTCAGTATCATTCACACGATCGTCTTCAATCTTATTATAAAGATTGTTGAATAACACAACTTCTGTTTTCAATTCATACCATTTTGTAGCTATATCAAGCGTGCTGCGATGGTTTTCTATGGTGGTTTCAGCGTCAGTGTTGAAGGTATTCGTTAATAGGACCCAAAACATTCTATCCTCAAAACTGGTGTTCTCGTAGACATTAATATATGCACGAGTTAGAAGCAAATACTCGTTAGCGGTCCATGGGTTTGAACCCATTTTAAAACATACAAACTACATGAACTAAAATAGATTAGATGAAGTGATACATAATTTTTTGTCGTTTTATATAGACATGACAGTCTGCAAATATCCAATGATCATCCATGACAATATATAGACCCTTCAACTCCGCAAATAGTTGTCCGTCAGTCCGCGTTACTGACTTGTCAGTCCGCATAGCTATTCGTCGGTCCACGTTACTGACTTATCAGTCGGCATAACTATTCGTCGGTCCGCGTTACTGACTTGTCAGTCTGCATAGCTATTCGTCGGTCCGCGTTACTGACTTTTCAGTCCGCATAGCTATTTTTCACTCCGCGTTACTGACTTGTCAGTCCGCATAGCTATTTGTCGGTCCGCGTTACTGACTTGTCAGTCCGCATAGCTATTTGTCGTTCCGCGTTACTGACTTGTCAGTCCGCGTTACTGACTTGTCAGTCGGTATAGCTATTCGTCGGTCCGCGTTACTGACTTGTCAGTCCACATAGCTATTCGTCAGTCCGCGTTACTGACTTGTCAGTCCGTGTTACCTATCTTTTTATATATAGTAAAGCAAGTATCTATACGTCGGAATTAGAGGTAAGGGATCATTTCACAAAATGGCATCCAATGTACCAACGTCTTCAAATGCAGCTAATCTGTCTAATGCGTCTGCTCCAACTAATGGTACATCTCCATGGACGACAACAGAGGTGTTGGTCCTAACACGATGCTGGATTACCCTTTACGAGCGTCTGTCGGTAATAGCTCCCCTTAATTGCCTTGTTGGTGATGAATGGTCCCGCTTAGTAGCTTTGTTCAACTATAACGTGGGACAAGGACAAAAACGACTAAAACCCGATATTGTTAGTAAATGGATGGATTTAAAGACTAAAGTCACATGGTACAATCGATGCTACAATTATGAGAAAATACGATGCTCTGATGCTGATGATGAAGAACTTCTTGAATACGTAAACGGATATTACCTGTGCTAGTTTGATGAAACTGAGTTCGAGTATACGGACATTTGGAATCTGGTTAGAAATAAACCCTTTTTCATGTAGACGACTCTTTTATTCGTAATGTTCTATGTAATGTTTGTTAGTCGTTCATCTTTTATTTGCAATGTTTTCTGTAATGTTATTATGTTATTTCAAATGTTTGTTTTGTTTTTAATGTATCGTAATATATGTTGGTGAATTATGTTTCAAAAAATATATGATACAAAAGTTGTTTATATTAAAAAAAACTACTAAAAACAAGTATTTCATAATAATGTATACAAACTTCCAAACATCAAGTTATTTAGTATCCCAAATAATATTTGTCATCATATTTCTGTAGAAAAATCTCGCATCTCTACATGGCTTATCACTCTTCACCGGTACCCCCGAAGCAATCATTTCCATATACATGCTTACGAATACTCCACAATCCCCTTTATTAGTAATATATTCTTGTTGTGGCGCATCTACAATATCAATAAACTCCACAACTGCGTTGTCTTTGTGTGCATCAGGGAATTCCTTCCAGTAGTCAATCGTATCTAGCTCTTCGATTATACTATCCCCAAAACTTTTGAATTCTCCACCAGTCAAGTACGTTGTGAAGTAATTCATACATCGTGCTGAATCATAAATGTGTACTTTCCAAATATCTAAATGTAGCACTGCCAAAAACCAATGGGCATGAGGAACGTTTATGGGGAATAGAACCTGCAAACAAAAACAAATGTAATAGTCATTAATTCGTTTCATATATAAAATAAATAATTAATAAACTTAACTAACCATATCCATATCCTTCCATTTAGGATGGCCTCTGACAACATTTGCAATATTCCTAAGAAAATATGTTTTTCCGTTTTGCAAATTAAGTTCTTGAGGGAATATCGTCCACCGCCGGCCGTCTTTCCATGAGCAAGGCACTCCATATCGCAATATGCTGTACATTTTAAGATAAAAATGTTACAGTTTTTTATATAAATTATCGTCTAAAAATGTAGTTAAAATTTATATTTAACGAATGTTACCGAAGAAATTAACCACCCAGTGTCAGTAACTGCAAGTAACCTCGACCAAAACTCCACATCTAGTGTGAGCATATGCAGCCTATGTTTAGTGTTCAGGTTGGAAGAGATACTATTCCATTCTTTCCAAAAAGTCAACGTACTGGCAGCTTCAACACTGTCGAGCAGGAGATGATTTGAAACATCATTACTCTCTTCATTCACAATGTCTTCATTTGCTTTTTCAGGATTCTTCACCACTTTTTTTTTTCTTTGCTTTGGTGATTTTCTTCAATTTTGGTGTGGATTGCATCTAAAACATTATCATGTTAAATAATTATCAATACGTTAATATTTAAAAAATATACCAAATTAAAAATATGAGTTTTGTACCACTGTGAACGGAGTCCGCTGATACCGTGGAACACCCCTCTTTCGTTGCGGCCTAAGAATAGGAGTCATTTCTTTTGTGTGATGTTCACCCACGTCCAATGACGGCTCAACATGCGTAGGTGTAGACTCAAATCCCCCCTCCAAACCATGACTACCTATATTATCATAGTCAAAATGTGTATCATGGTAATATTTTTCTTCCTCCTCTTCATTTATCATCTCTTCCTCCTCTCGAAACCTTCTGTCTGGTTCAAAATTTATGTCGGGTTCATCTTTTTTTTGTAATACACGGTCTACTTTAGAACTTAAGTCAGCCACAACGCCTAGTAGACGCTTCACTAATGCCTTTGTGCTCGTCTTCTTCTTCTTTACCAATCTTGATGTGTCGTGTGACATATAACTTGTTTCTGTTTCAAGATGTTGCGAGGAAGAAGCATTTGTGGCAGATTCAGTCGAAGATGTTTGTATTTCGGACTTGTACATCCTTCTTCGAGCAGGCGAGGCAACAGGAGGTGGACTATTTCGGACATGACTATGTTGCCGTGGGGGAGACTCTACAGGGTTAAGAGTCCAATTGACATAACGAACATAAAACGACAACATCAGCTCCTCCGGGTTTGCCTCGACATTAATAGGTTGGTTGTTAGGCTGCAAAAATCAGATTGTTAGTTTAACATGAAAATAATTTGGAATTTGTAAATATAGATGATTGTTAATATAAAAACCATACCACAGACACGTTCATTATTCGACAACATTGAACCCAATTCAACGGTGTTTTACTTCTCTATTCCCTCATCCGTGGCAATTCTGTCGGCGTGCGTATATACAACTTGGTTGCCTCTGGGAACGTCTCCAAAATCCATATCTATGAAAAAAATGTAAGTATCATTCTATTATACTATAAAAGTCATGATACAAACTTATTATATAATACAAAACGAAGTTCAAAATTTTATAGTATAAAAAACTAAACAATGATAACTATTAAAATGCATTAGAAACTAACCTTAAACGGAAGCATAAAATCGGGAACGGTATACTTGTGTACTTTCTTCGATTCAGGATTGGCCTGCTTGAATTATCTAAACTCTTCTATTTTCTTAAACATTCCACGCATCATACGCGAAGTATATTTCCAGAAATACGTACCCCATGCAAACCTGCAATTTTCAATTTATTTATTATAATTAGTGCATTGCATACTACTGCGGGAATGCCTGTTTTAAATGTAATACCTGTTCCAATCATCTATATTATCAGCAAGCTTGTATACTGCTGCAGGAATGCCCGTTTTAACGTCTCGTCCGTGTAGACTTTTCAACATAAAAACAAGCTGGATAAGCATCACAGCATCTTCATCTTGTAGTGCCAAATAATTCGGGGACATAATTAAGTCTTCTAAATTTTTCAGCCGCAAACGTGCATCAGAAATATCTGGGAACAACCGAGCATGGAGATTTGAATTTGACTGGCCCTTTTCGTCATGGAGTAAATCCACATAAGGACCAACTTTTAAACCACAAATCAGAATATATTCAGTTTCACCAAAACCCAACTGGATCCCCTCTACATCAAACATAAACCTCCCCATTTCAAATATTTGTTGACACCTTACTTCGTGCAACACCATCTTATGCACAAGTAAGGGATCACCATGTGGGATATGCATTCCTAAGAATATTTCAAAGGGGGAAGCTTCGAATAATACTCGTTGTGATTGTGTTAGGCGCGGAAAATAGTCTTTAATGATAGTCCCACCATGCATTTCAAAGTTAAATCCGTTTTTTGATTAAGATCTTCGTGCTACACAACAAAAAAAATAAAAATTATTATTTCATTTAAAAAATTACTAATTGAAAAAAAAAATATTATTCCATTATGAAATAAATAGCAACATACTTAAAAGCAGAAAAATAATAATTGTGCAGAAAACACCATCACTCCGCGGAGGCTAGAGGTCATTCCGCGGAGGCCTCTCTGCGGAGTGACATCTAGCTTACGCGGAGAATGCAATGTTGGATTATAACATTCCGCGGAGGAAACACATCACTCCGCGGAGTAGCCTCTGCGGACTGACGTCCCCCTCCACGGAATGGATCATCCGCAAAAACGTATCTGTGATTGTAAACCTAAAAATCCTAAATCTGTATACATATTCAATGTAATCAAATGGGTTTTCCTCTAATTTGAATCATATTCGACATTAACAATTAGATGAGAATGTGAGAAATACCCGGGAACCATATCCATCGGCCATAACATCGGGGAATTCGGGGTCCATCGGTGACGGAAAGAGCTCTGCGACTTGATTTCGCCGGAGTTGAAGTCGTCGCCGGAGTTGAAGTCGTCGCCGGAGTTGAAGTCGTTGCCGGATTTGAAGTCTTCGATCAAAGCCTGGAGGAGCCGATGCGGAGGGTGGACGAGGAACGGGGACCAGTGGGGACCAAAATAGGACCCCTTCGTTTTTCTCAAAAAAAATATGGTGGAAATTACCAATTTACCCCCTCTTCGCGGAGATTTCATGGTTCCACGGAGGTCCGCGGAGGGTCCTCTGCGGAATGTGTGTCTATATCTGGAAAAAACGTTTTTTATGACTAAATTTATAAATTTACCCCCATTTTTTGTCTATTTGAGGTATTTTCCCAAAACTTATTGACTACTGAAGAGCAAAATGATGTTTTAGTTGAAGATATAAAATAACATAAAAACATATTTTGAAAATTATATTTTTTTATAATTAATTAAGTGTTAATTTTGAAAAAAAAAATTCAAAAGATTTTGAAAAACTAATCTTAATAGTTTTTAAAAAGTTAATTTATTAACTATGATTCTCCGCAAACAACCATAAAAAATATGTTGATAGTATTATACATGAAGTACATAACGTGAATGAAAATAAAAGCATATTTGAGTGGGTTCACATCGGTTGGCATCTAAGGAGTAAGGAAGGAGTTTTGCTTAACCATGCATTCATGCACTTCTTTTGGGCGATTCGTTAGGACTCTAGGTTTTAAAATATAGTTGCTCTTTTAATTACCTTCCTGAATAAATAAAATAATAAGATATTATTATTACATATTACCTAATTAACAAAATACAATAAAATGAAGGGATATTTACAATCATTAGGAATGAAGTAATAACACGAAATCACCTGCTTTTTAATTCATAAAAAATGACTACAAAGTCTGAAACAGTGCTGTTAGAAAACTGTTGAGGCATAACATAAAGTCATTCAAAATATGATATGTTGGGAGTAAAATGTACATTTCGGACCGACTCTTCGTACACGCCGGTATGTCTTTCATTATGGATTCGTATTTCGAACAAGAATTCCGAGATTGATTTTCTCTTTTTATAGGTTTAGGGTTTTACTATCAATTCATATACACCATTTTGTTATTCAAAATGAGCTTATATAATCCTATTTTAGGGTACTTGATTGCGGAAGAGAATCAACGATATTATGCAATATATGACCGTCAAATTACACATGTTTTGGTATAGATTTAACCTATGATATACCCTTTTGCGAGCATGGTTAACTTGGTGGCTTTCATTTCAAGGTTACAAATTCATCAAATTCATTTATCTTTCCAATGTTTTAGACAAGGGTGGAGCCACATGGGAGCCAAGCCATCTTGATATTCTCAAAAAATAAAAATTCTTTTATATATATATATATATATATATATATATATATATATATATATATATATATATATATATATATGTGTGTGTGTGTGTGTGTGTTTTCTAATTAATTTATAAAGACCATCCTAAAAAAATTTTGGCTTCGCACCTGGTCTTAGATCAAACATTGTTATGCAAATAACTGATAAACAATGATGTTTAATATTCTGTTAGCATTGTTACAAATATTATGAGTGTGTTCGGCAAAACTAGCTGGTAGGAGGTAGCTTGTAGCAGGTAATGTTTTGTTAAAGCTACGTGAAGTAACATTTGAATTTGGAGAGTTTTGTTTAAACTAAACGCTAGAGCTTGTAGTGTCAAACGAGGCTATTTGTTTAAAACGGATCGTTTTGTCAAACGTTAGAAGCTAAAAGCTCTCTAATGCTCACAAATACTCTGTGTCGAACACGCCATATACCTGAAAATACGATGCTATGTTTCTTATGAATCATATTATTTCTTATGAATCATATTTGTCCAACATCATAATTTTGAGGAGCAAATTTATGTTTTTTATATCATCCCATTCTGTGGGCCATTTTAGCAGCTCAAATCCATCTAGGGGTGAGCAAAAACAGCACCGCAACTAAAATTAACCGTAAAAACTGCATAAACCGCAACCACAATAAAAACCGATGGTGAGGTTTTCTGTTTTTCAAAAACCACAAATATGCGGCGCGGTGCGGTTATTAGTTTTCAAAAACCGCAAAAAAACCGCACCGCACCACATATATCATATACATTTTTTTATTAATTATTAATATATTAAATATTAAAAATAAGACAAATTTCATGAATGAAAGAAAGATAAAATTTTAGAAGACAAAAGTGTTGGTTTTTTCTTATGTTTAACTTTGGAAAATGATGAAATTTGACAATTTTAAAATATTTATTGTTTTTTTTAGAACAGCTTAAAATATTTATTGTTAATTACTAGTGATTTGACGTTTTTAAGATATTAGTTATCTGTAATTTAAGTTAATTGTCTTATACCTTATAGTTTTTTTTATTAATACAAGTAATATATTTAAACTCTTAAATTTGTTTGAAATCTAAATTGCGGTTAAAAAGCACACAAAATAATCGTACCAAATCAATGCGGTTAATAACTGGAAAAAAAAACACACCGCACCGCAAAAATAACCATCTAACCGTACCAAACGGTTTTGAAAATGGATTAACCGCATTTGCGGTTGGTGGTGAGGTTTTGGCCAATAATTGCACCGAACCGCACCGCGCTCACCCCTAAATCCATCTTAAAGCAGTCATTTTGTGGACGTTTTTTGTGATTAAAAGCTGACTAACACCATCACCTTGGAGACACACAAGGAGAAAAAATCAGCACCCGCCTTTGTAATATATATATATATATATATATATATATATATATATATATATATATATATATATATATATATATATATATGTATTCCTAAAATAGTCCATCGCCTCATCTGCGTCTCTCTATACCTATTCTCCAAATGATAAATTTTACCCTTGCTAAACACATGTCGTCTATTAGTTGTGTTACTCACCGTCCTTACTCACGTATCCTTCTTCCACCACACCCTACTTAGATGGGCCATCAACTATACATGTTTTCTCTTTTTTCGGTTCTTTACCGTGTTTCATGCTTCCTTCTCTGATCTTTCTTCCCATCAGATATATCCCTAAAATCGTCTGGATATTGACACTGTAACGACCCAAAATTTTCAAATAAAATTTTTATTTTTAAATAATCAAAACATTCTCATAAACCATAAAATCTCATTAACAATTGTTTTCAAATTCATAACATCAACATTTTATTTCAAATATCAGAGTGTCCCCATAAAAATACATGAGAGAGTGTATCTCGCGCCATCAAGCCTTGCGCTTTCCCTTAGGCTTTTAAGTACCTGTAACAATCAACAAATTGTAAGCTAATGCTTAGTGAGTTCCCCAGAGCATATCCCACACAATCCACATAATCACATAATCCATGTTAGCTATAAAGCTACATAAACCACATAAGCCATGCATACAACATATGGGATGCCCTGGAAACGCTCCAGGGTCTTACTCCGGGTGCCTCGGGAACCCCCGAAGGTCTTAGCCCAACGATGCCATGGAAACCCTCCAGGGTCTTACTTCGGGTGCCTCAGGAACCCCCTGAGGTCTTACCCACTATCGTATAAACCATACATACAAACATATAAGGATGCCCTGGAAACCCTCCAAGGTCTTACTCCGGGTGCCTCGGGAAACCGCCCCCCCCCTGCCCGAGGTCTTAGCCCAAGGATGCCCTGGAAACCCACCAAGGTCTTACACCCAAGTGCCTTGGGAACCCTTCGAGGTATTTACTAAGGATTGCCTTGGAAACCCTCCAAGGTCTTACACATAAATGCCTCGGGAACCCCCCGAGGTCTTTCATGCTAGTATAACAATTAACTAGCATACTACATATCCCATAACCAACTAACATATCACATAAAAAATAATGGGTCAGCCTTGGTGCCTTAGACCCATTGATATAGTGAGGAGACTTACTTCTCAAGAATGCTGAACTGATAAGATAAGATAAGTCCCAATCCGCAGCTCCAACTCAACTGCCTACAACCATCATGTGACTACTTTGTCAAAATCCAGAAATACCAATAATATCCTCAAAGTCAAACTTGGTCAACCATGATCAAAGTCATGGTCAACAGTCAAGGTCAACAGTCCATGTTGACCCAACTCGTCGAGTTCCTTTAGTGTTCAGAAACCGGTAAAACCCTAACCAACTCGCCGAGTTATCTTATCAACTCGCCGAGTTCACTGTGCATACCGAAAATAGGAAAACCCGATCCAACTCGTCGAGTTTCCAGGGCAACTCGTCGAGTTTTCCCTTGTCTTAACATATTCAGTCCTTCAATTTAAATCTAAAGCCCCAAACTACAGATCCAGTCCCTTAAGACTGAAATACCACGTAAAGTTGCTAACTTTACGTGCATGGAAGGTCTCAAGAGGCTAAAACACTAAAACTAAGCTTAATAGAAGGTTTAGGGCATGGAGGATGGCCAAAACTTGATAAATCTTGAATCTTTAGGCCCAAGGTGGCCTAAGGTGTCCAGATCTGAAGTCATAACTTCAAATTATGCTCAACTCCGAAAATGGTCCCAAAATGGGCTAAAAATGCACTAAACTTCCATGGAAGAAGATCTAAGAAACAAGGGGTCAAAATAAATACTTTTTACCTCCAAATGGTTGCTAACACAAGGTAGATGCCGGATCTATAGCCTTCTTCTCACTTCAATCTCTTCAATCTTCAAGTTTCCTTCCAAGAAGCACAAGATTCACTCTCCAAAGCTCACACACACTCAAGAAAGCACTAAAGCACGACTAGGGTTTCTCTCTGGACAGTTAGGACGATGAGGGGGGCCACAAATGAGCCATAAGTTACTTAAATAGGGTACAAACCCATGAAAATTAAGGTTTTCCTTTACAACGTCTACTCGTCGAGTTGGGGCCTTCCAACTAGTCGAGTAGACCCTAAGTCCCGCGTCCAAATTGATCTCTACTCGACGAGTTGGAGCTCCCCAACTCGTCGAGTTCCAGTCTAAAACCCTAAAATCTTGAGAAATAAATGATATCTGAAATAAGCGTTACAAATCTCCCCCACTTGAACTAGACTTCATCCTCGAAGTCTACTGACGCAAAAAAATCCGGGTAGTGGTCTCGCATCTCATCTTCCGGCTTCCATGTCCATTCGGAGCCTTTTCGGTGCTGCCATTGCACCTTCACTAGCTTCACTTCCTTATTGCGAAGGACCTTAGTTTCCCTATCCAAAACCGCAACGGGCCTCTCAA